CTTTTAAAGATTCCCCTTGGAACTATATGAAAAAGTTCCATGAAGTTGGGTCAAAATCCTGACCAAATTAGGGCAAAATTTCACTAAGTGTTTTGTTTCATGACCACATGTTCTTAAAATTATAAATTGAGATCCAAGCACTTTTTCAAGAAGTTGTGTGAAGAATAGTTGTATATTTCATGGAGATCTACAACTTTCATGTTGGAAGTTTCTTTTGAATCATCTTGCATCATGGTGAAAATGTTTCTCAAAGTTATGAAAAAATAAGAAATTTCCAACACTTAGAAAAAATTCTAAGTTTAGAAATTTTAACTTTTCAAAATGGAACTTTGAATTTTGGATTTCTCGATGAATAATTTTCATATTTTGACATGTTTTGATGAATTATGATCTTTGGAATTTGATTTTGACCAAAAAGTCAAAGTTTGACTTTTCAGTATATAGTTGACTTTTGATCAGTTGACTGGAAATTCATCTGTCAATCCATTGGACTTGAACAATGTTTCGAGCCATGTGATTAGGTCAAAATGATGCAATTGGACTCTTGAGATCATACCTTAAACCAATTGATCATTTGCTAGGTCAAAAATCAGAAATTGCCCTTTCTCAGTCAAAACCCTAATTTTGACCATTTTGCCCTTTTGAAGATTTGATCAAATTTCTTGAGGAATTATGGTCCAAAATTGATCAAATGATACATATGAGTTTAAAATGTTGATGTGGATAAAAAATTATGAAGTTTGACTGTAAATTGGCCATAGTTGACTTTTTCCCCAATACAGCTGATTTTTAGGTCAATTGCTCAATTGACTGAGCAAAAGTGTGATCCAAAGCTTGAAACTTTACATGAGTGATCTTAAGGGTCCATAATGATCCATGAAAGTCATATGGGGCATTGGAAGTTCAAATATCCTTGTGCAATCTTAAACCCTAATTTTGGTCATCAGTGCTTAAGGAGATGTCTTGAGCTGATCAACCTTAATGCAGTCTTGAGCCAAAGGAGATCTTGTGAGAAAATTCTTGATAAATGAAAGGGAAATTTTGGGGTAAAATAGATACCAGTCAACGTCGAATGCAGCATTGGTGTCAGATAATTTTCAAAATTTTAACTCCCCTTTACAAGGATCTGCACCTGGAGAAAATAATAGAGGCAACCAAATTAGAGGAATGCCTTCTCAACCAATAGTACCGCCTCTCACTAACACTTCAGTATCAGTGTTAAGGCAACAAATGGATGATAGTAACCACGAGTTGGTTAATATGTTAACTAACCAAATGGGTAATGTATTTAATCCTATAGTACAAGAGTCGGTTAAGACTAATAGGCAGTCCGCTGAAACAAATCGACATGTGATTGCCCAATTAACACGTTTGTGTAATTTTTTAGGTGCTCCCCCAGCACCTATTCGACAGGCGCCACTTGTTCGACTAGATGCCCCTGGTCAAATGGACATGGGGGAAGTATAGGATGAAACTGTCTATCAGGGACAAGTTCTAGTACCTCCAAGGAATTTGATTGTCGATCCACCTAGGGCATTAGTACATTGTTATCAAGAGGCTGATCAAATTGTTGAACAAATTCGACAAGAGGTTTTAGCCGTAGAAAATAATTTAACCACCATTGTCGAAATAATTATGGCTAGGAATGGTATGAATACCACACTTCATAGGCCAACATATTCTTCCCCTTTGTCTGAATATATCTTACAGACTGAAAACCCTAGAGGATGGAAAATTCCTAAGTATACAAAATTCGGGGGAGAATCTGGAGAGTCGGCAGTGGAACATATTGCTAGGTATTTGACTGAATCTGGGGATATGTCGAATAATAAAAACTTAAGGGTAAAACATTTTCCTTCTTCCCTTACTAAGGCAGCTTTCACGTGGTTTACCACTTTGCCTCCAAATTCGACTGACTCATGGACTAAGTTGGAAAAACTTTTCCATGAACAGTTTTATGAGGGTCATTCAAAAATTAGTTTGGTTGAATTATCAAACATTAAAAGAAGGTTTTCTGAAACCATTAATGATTATCAAAATATATTTAGGAAATTGAAACCAAGATTCTTTACTCAAGTACCAGAACATGAGCTTGTTCAAATGGCTGCTGGAGGTTTAGATTATTCCATTAGGAAGAAAATAGATTCGACCTTCATGAAGAGTATGTTACAGTTAGCTGATAGAGTTCGACATCTAGAGTGTCTGCGACTAGAAAAGGTCAGACATACTAAGGCTAGGACTAAGAAAGAAAAAGTAGCCTTCATAGATTATGATGACACAGATCCCATTTGTGAGGCCGGCTATACCTCACCAACAGAGGCAGAGGTGGATGTGGCTAAAATGAATCCATGGCCAGCATATGAATGTAAATCACTATTTCCTGCTAATGAAAAAATATGGTCAAAAACAATCCAAAATTTCCAGCGAAAACCTATACGTTTGATGTCACAAAATGTGAAGAAATTTTTGATTTGTTAGTTAAAGATGGTCAAATTTTAGTACCCCTAGGCGCTAAGTTACCACCATTAGAACAACGACAGAAAAGAGTCTTTTGTAAATTTCATAATTATCTTGGTCACACAACCTCTCAATGTTATCTTTTCAGGGATCTCGTACAAAAATCACTGCAGGAGGGTAGATTGAAATTTGCTGCACGGAAAATGAAGATTGATACTGATCCTCTTAGACAAGAGGAGGCTTTGTTTCTTGACCCTGTTGACATCAACATGGTAGAAATTACTGAGTTTCCTGATGATGATATGGTCGAAGAGGGTACTGGAGAAAGTCTTGATGTCGACTTAGCTGACGTGTACCCAAGGCCTGAGGAGGAGTTGCTAGACTTCCTTTACCGCTGTAAGAACAAAGGTTTGCAAGCTTTCTTGTGTCCTAGGTGTAACGCCTTGACTGACAAAATAGCTGCTAATAATTTCCAGAAGCTGCTGTAGCGGTGAAAATCGGAGATCAAGCTATTAATTAACTTGACTCACAAAAACAAGAGTCGCCACCGCGCTTTATTATTTCCAAGGGAAAAGGGGAAAGAGCGAAATAAAACCCTAAAGTATGCAATGTAAAATAATACTTTTAAAAGTAATGAAAATACAAGGCGTTTTTGAAAAGAGGTATATGGTTCGGGGGTTGGTTATACAATGGGAAGGTATTAGCACCCAATGCATCTGCGGTACTCCGCAGGAACCTTTTGAAATATCTGTTTTTGGTTAAAATTGTTTGTTTGATTAAAATGGTTTGTTTGGTTAAAGATAGGTATGGACGATATTTTTGAAGATACGATGACCTAGTGTCGAAGTTTTGACTTAAAAGGCATGAGTTTGAAAATGGAGTCTTTTGGGAAAATTATCTTAAGTTTGGAAAAATAGTAAATAAGCAAAAAATGAATGAGGGTATTCGCACGATTGTAAAAGATGTATTTGATGACATGAAGTCAGCTGAGTTGAAAGATTTCCCTTGGAATTAATCATGAGTGGGTAGATCTGATATTCGAGTAAGAAATCATAAATAGTTAAAATCCACGAGAAATGAACAAGGTAGATAACAAGATAAATTGTAAGAAACTAAATGAATGGACAAAGAAGAATCATGAATAAAAGAAAAGTGTAATTAAAAAATTATCTAGACTAATTTGAAATTCTAAGGTTACTAATTGAAATTCGAAAGTTATTAAATTAAATCTAAAATAAATTAACACTCTAATATTACTGAATTAGGTCTAAACTAAATTAATTCTAAAGTTGCTAAATTACGTCTAAACTAGTTTAAGTATAAACTAAATTCATTATAAAATTACTAATTTAATCTAAACTATATTAATAATAAAATTACTAACTTAAATCAAAACTAAATTAATTCTAAATTAAAGATTAAAATTCTAAGATTAAATTAAAATTCTAAAGTTATCAAATTAAGTCTAAAACTAATCTAAATAATTAAGATCATCTAGTTAACTAAAACATAGTTGTTTAATTAAATCTACAAATAACTAGATTAACTAGACTAATTATTATTCAAAATAAACAAATTGAGAGGGTATAACTAAGAAAATTTAACTAATTTAACTAATTTAACTAATTAAAAATATTTTTAGATTTTTCTAATATATCTTTTTTTTATTGCATTTTTTAAAAATGATAATAAATTAAACTATGATTAGTATTAATCTAAACTAATTAAATTATAAATAAAAAACTAAACGTAGGAAACTCTCTTACATTTCAAACTTATTTTATTTTATTTTTAAAATATATAATAAAACAAACAAACCAGAATTTTTGATATTGACTTATTAAAACAAACTTATTTCTTAACCAACATCTACGTCATAACCATTTTTTTCACTTTTTTTTAAATGAACCTAATTACATGCTGACACCTAGAAAATATTATAAAAACAGAAAATATCAAATTAAATAAAAACTAAAAAAAAATGGAAATTAGAATGGCCCTACTAATTCTCTCCACGACAGTTATCTTCTTCGCTCTCTTTTACCGTAAAAGCACAACCAAAATCTTAGAAACAACATCAACACTATTGAATTCTAAACACAAACCCCCAAACCCTTAAAACAAAATTACACAACATTCAGGCACGTAATCAAGAAAATATTATGGGGTTCACAACTAGCAAGTCATGATAAACAAAACAGTAAAAAGAAAATGCAAAGAGATGAGAAAACTCACACGGTCGGAGCTAGTCTGACGGTTTCGACACCGGCAAAGAGTTTAGATACTCAGGTAAGCTTCGATACCTTCTATGAACTTCTGATTCTGCATCATCTCTTCCTTATTCTTCCTATGAAGCTTCGATACGCAGGTAATGGTGGATGAGGATTAGCGATTGTAGAATTGCTTTTTAATCAGTATCAAGCTTCTAGTAGATTCCAATCCAGCTAGCAAAAACATCAAACATGCATATAGTACGGTTGCGTCTAAACCCAGAAAGGAGTGTCAAAAATTTTGGTAGGCTTAGCTTTTCCTGTTTTACTGCATCAAATTCTAGGAGCTCCACCAATTGTTGCTTCAGGCAACCGCTCGATTGAGTATCTGTGTTTGGTGATATACATTATTGGCACACCGGGAATCTTTCGGATCCTCCTCTTCAAGTCTCGATCACATGTTGCGACAATGAAGCATTTATGCTGATTAACTCTCTCAACAAGGCAGTCATCAGCATAGGTACCCTTGTGAGTACAGAGTAATCTCTCAAATCGAGGATCCTTTGCAATCCTCATAATGTCGTAACACAAGCCCTTCTGATCAACACACTGTATCTGAAGCAAGGTATGAGTCGGGCTCAACGTATTATCCACAGTAACACTCGGTTTCTTCAGTGTTGTCATGTCTTGACTGAGAGGATGCAGCGACACCTTGTCTGATAACTCAGGACCAAATAGTTCTTCAGAATAAGCTGGTGGAAGAGAAGAAAACCCCGGCAAATGTCCATCATATTCAGGTCCAGCCAACTGAAGTTCGCTGGAGATACATTTCTCTCCTAAAGCTTCCATAAGATATTCACATACATCGTCTCGCCGCTTTTTCGTGTGAAACAATTCCATTTCATCAGTGATAAAGAACAAATCTAGGGCCCTTCCATCAGGAGTTGGCATGACTTTAACTCGCTGAATCGTAAGCAGGAGGTTGCACAAGATTTCGTTGATATCGTATAATAATCCTTTCTGATCGAAAATCCAAACCTTCAACAAGTAAATTTGATTCGGTGAAGGATTAGCAGATTGTTGTTTGAAATGATAAGAAAACAAACATGAAGGACAAGGTGAAAGAAGCCTTGTCTTCAAACTTTCCCAATCAACTTTGAGTGATTCAGAATGCGGAATAACCCAAAAGATTATGTAGCACCATCTTCCATCCGTCGAAATGTCGGCTCTGGTAATACGAAGACCGAATTCAAGGATGATTCTGCAGAGATCACAGCCAAGACCAGCTTTATCGGGGCAATTGACAGTGACAGTTGTTGGCTCGTTGGATTTCTTGGCGTGCTGGATCACAACGATGTCGTCCCATGGGATTCCCATCACTGAGAAATGGTGGATTCAGAGGAGAATTGTAAGTGGGAAGAGCATTGCCGGAGCTCCGGCGAGGATTGCTCCAGCGAACGGTTGTGAGAGGTTTGAGAAGAAGAAAGGATGGGCGGAGGTTACAGAGTTGGACTGAAATTGATGGAGGATGGGTTATGGTGATGGTGATGAAAAGCGATTGGGGAGTGAAAGATGGTTAATTGAAGGTTGGTTTTTTGTGTGTGCAGGTGAGAGAGATAAGTGCTAGTTACTTATGTGTTGTGTTTTTTTGTTGTGTGTGTGTCCCTGTACAAAGTGAAAAAAGATGCCTAAAAATAGAGAAAATGAAGAGGAATATTATGATTTCAAAATAAATCCAAGCCGTTCAATATAAATCCAATCTCTATCAATCCGCAAACCATGCTTTCGACCAATGAAAATTAAAATAAATCCAAGCCGTTCAATATAAATTCAATCTCTATCAATCCGCAAACTATGCTATCGACCAATGAGAATTAAGCGAAGCCTAATTAATATTTTTTGTGACCGAAAAGTCCATGAATGACCAAAATAAAAATAAAGTCCTGAAAATAAATCAATTTAAAATAATTTTTTGAAATCTTTATGAATAAAAAGATAAAGACCCAAAATAACCGAAAACGATAAAAAAAGGCGGACGAAAATTTATCCGAAAAAATAAAATGAACACATTAGAAAAATCTACATGTCACAAAGATTAAATAAAAAATATTCAAAAAGTCGAAATCAAAATAAAATGATAATAAAAATATCGGGCTAAAATAGATGTTTAAGGTTAAAAACGAGACTTCAAGCTGTACCGAAAAATAAAGCGAGCATACCGTCATAATCTATGCGAAACACAGATTCATAAAATGATCGGTAAAAGGTGAACACTTGAAATATTTTCTCGCTAATTTTCCGCACAATGTCGAACCGCTTTTAACAATTTGTCTATAAAACCGAAATATTTTGATTATCGACATATAAACAACTTGGAGCCATGCGAGAAAATAGTGAACAGGTAAAAATGAATGAAGTGAAATGTCAGGTATTTTACAACTGAAAGACGATGCAAACTTTGATTTAAACTGACTTTTTCTGGTCAACTTAAATACGACTAATGATGCAAAATGTGATGAATGAAGATATTTACTAATGATTGTGACCAAATGACAAAATATGGTATGAATATGCGACTGAAAAAATTAGGGGCGAAATTAAGGGTGTAACAGTGTGCCTTGATGAATCAGTCTTCGAGAATCCACAATCAACCGTACTTCTGGCTTGGGAGACTCAAAACCTTAATTGAGGCGCGACACCTGATGCTCTTGATTCAGACCTGTCTCTGCACATGAAACAAAAGAAAACATGAACATACACCTTTGCATGCGATTAGAAATTAGTGATACATAGGCTAAAAATGTTCAAAACACTTGACAATCTTCGCATAGTCAAAGCTCGAAGGTGAGACGTTAAAACCGACTGTATTTCGTGACCTTGACTTATGCAAAAATAAAAATGGGATCTTAGGTCAAAAATTGGGGTACAACAGCTGCAGTTAGAAAAGAATAAGGGAAAGTCGTACAATCAAAGGTCCCCTACACCAAGGGACCCAAGAAGAACTGTGGGAAACTCCCATGCCAAACCAAGAAGTTATATTCCTTCAGCAAAAGCTCCTAACGGTACTTGAATTAAGCCTCAAGGGAGAAGGGGGCACTAATTGATGGTGTTATTGCTAGAGACCCAAACAAAGGAAAGTCGGCTATTAACTACCGACATGAGTTTAAGTCTAAGAGGAAAAGTCATATTTCTTAAAATTACATGGGGAAGAATCCCATGACTCGAACCCAATGGAGACGCTTCCAGCGTCGAAAGTAGGCTGAGAGGAAAGCATCTGCTGGCTAGATTGCTGCAAACAAAGCTGGCAATCAGAAGCAGTATAAAGTGAAGGTCGATTCCTCTGCAAAAGAATGAACCAAAGAGTTCGTGAGTCGACCAGTTGCTAAGTGTTCTGAAGAAGCTACTGACAATTTTGAGTTCGAGTCTGAAGAGAGTTTGAGTATCGTAGTTAATGTGGTATCAATTCTGCCAGCAGAATATGATTGCTTAACTTAAGTGGAAGATTCAGAAGACGTTGATGCTTGGGAGATGGCTTTACACAAGCCAACATGTTACTTTGTGATGAATAATGGTTCGATTGAGAACCAAGATGCATTATTTGAAAGACCAGTGTGATACGGTGGGAGAACTGACTTGAGGTTTTGCGTTTGTTTTCGCAAATGTTTCGGTTGAGTAAGAGTCGCCACCGACTTTTTATTTTATCCTAAGGAAAGGTTTAAAAAGCACAGCAAAAACCTTTTGAGATGCTTTCTTGGGTTCGGGGAGTAGATTATAGAAAGGGAAGGTATTAGCACCCTTTCTATCCATGGTTATCCATGGGCTCTTAGTTACTTGCTTAGATCACTTGCCTTTTGTTTTCAATTGTTTTAAATGGTGCTTGTGTGTGGGTTTGAAAATGTTTTGAAAAGAAGCCAATGTGGTGGCAACCTTTGTAATGATCCATGTGGGGATGTATACAAAGATGTATGTCTTTTGAAAAGGTTTTCATTTGTTTTGAAAGTGTAGTGATGTGTGGTTTAGAAAATAGGCAAGTGTTTTGTTTTTGCAAGTTTGATTCAAGTAACTAAGAGGTTGTCTGCTCCTAAATTTCTCAAAAGACTATTGCTATGTTTTAACCCTTTTAATAAGTTTGTTCCACCATTGTATTTGGTGGACAATCTTATGTTAGGATGTGAAAGGGACGGGCGCGGGTCATCGTTTAGACCATAATTGCAACGGTGCCAAGTATCTTTGGGCATTTTCTTTGAGGGACTTGATCATTTGTTTTGGAAGTGTTTTGAAAATGTTATCGAGGGACTATGATCATTTGTTTGTTTGTTTTGCCCAAAGAGACTTAACATGCAATATGGCCCATTTTGAAAGGCAACAAGTGGAGTACCCTAGGGGGGTGCAAGTGTGATTTGTGTGTCCATTTTCATGCTTGTTTGTCTTGAGATTAGGTCATAACTATTTTGTCGTTTTTCGCATACAAACCCTAATTCTAACATGGCATAATTAGAAAGCAATAAAGCGCGAAAATAAATTTACTAAGCTATTACAACACCAAATGTGGGAAGGGGGGTACAAATGTTCAAATGGGGATTTTGACAAGTAATGTAAACCTAAAACTATTACATCAATATTGAATATTTACAAGACAAATATTTTGCATAGGTTAAATAAAATAAGACAAATATGCAAGAATGCAAAAAGAAATTTTTATATGTATGAAAAAAGATTATTTATAAAAAGAAAATAAAAGGGTATTATTTTTTTTGGAGTTTTTTCACATTTAGGGCAAAACCCTAATTTTATTAAATGAAATGTATTATTGTTTAATTCATATAATATTTATTATTTATATACAAAAATAAAATGAAATATGGTATATTTTTAAAAAAGGTATTTTTTAGTATTAAATATTGAAAAATGAAATATGTACATTTTTTGGCATTTTACTCTAAATGTATTAATATATATATATATATATATATATATATATATATATATATATATATATATATATATATATATATATATATATATATATATATATATATATATATATATATATATATATATATATATATATATATATATATATATATATATATATATATATATATATATATATATATATATATATATATATATATATATATATATATATATATATATATATATATATATATATATATATATATATATATATATATATATATATATATATATATATATATATATATATATATATATATATATATATATATATATATATATACATATATATGTATATTTGTACTATTTACAAGATATGTATTATTTAATTAATAATATTTAATATAAAAATAAAAAGGGTATTTTTTATACAAAATATTTTCAGGAAGTAAAAATAAAATAAAAGTGTGTAAAAAAAATATATATTTGTATTATCTTAATATTTTAAACAAAAAAAAGTATATATGTATAATTATTTATTTATGTACAAAACTAACTAATAGTCAAATAAATATCAAAATAAATGCAAAAAATATAGAAAAATATTTTTAATGCTTTTTATGAATTGAATAAAAATATGGAAACAAAATCAAAAAGAAAATATAGAAAATAACAAGTAAAAATCAAAATGGATCAGGGGGGTGTCAAAGTAGAAACAAGGTGCAAATAAGAAAAACATTCCAGGCCCAGCCCAGAACCAGTCATCTTCAACCTCTGAACAACATCACCCACGCGTTTTCTATCTCTTGATTCCTGGACTTTCAAGCAAAACTCATAACATGAAAAGTGTAGAGCATGAGAAGACGAATTCAACCATGTAAAGAACTTGACTTAACTCTCTAAGATGAGGGAGAATTTCTTCTCCCCCAATTTCTGACCTAACTTTTCATCAATATTCAGAACCAAAATTCTCTAAGCTCACATAATATAAATGAAATCTAATCATATGGGCATGTTCAGGGCTATGATTGTGACATGTTTCCTTCACAAACCTAAAGCTAACAATGCCTATACTGAGAGATAGAACTCCATGAATATACCTGTTCAGTTGGAATCGTGCTTTGCAATGGGGGAGTTTTCAGAGCAAGATGATGATTTGTATAGCTTCCTTGAAGTGTAAGGATGCTATTCCAAGTTCTACTTTGTCTTGAAACTCCCTGAATCGTGCTGGAGAACTTCAACTGCAAAACAGAAAAAACAAAAATGGTAAAGTGGCTTGGAGGTGTTACAGGTCGTGCTTTTGCTTTTGGTTAGCTTGCATAGATGGTAATGAAGGTGTGTGAACTGGTTTTGGCAAGAATGCTTGAGAGAAATAGAAGTTGGCACTCAAACTGCAGAGGCAACTCTGTTTTTGCAGTTTGATGGTGTTTTTTGGTTTGATGATTTTTGGGAGGCAAATG